GAGCCTGAAGATCTTGTCAGTCTTCTGCAGGTTAGTAGTCTGACTGTATTATTCATGGTTGCATCACATGTGCACGTTTTGTTCAAACACCGTAAGGTTTGAGTCCCCCAGCTAGATCACGTTTGCTCGCCTTGTGCCTTCCTGCAGATCCTTGAGGAGAGAATCTGATATGAGTCCATGAGCTTGCCTGTCAGGGTGTTTTACTGCGTGTAGACTACATGTGTGGAATGTTAGGTGTTTACAGTAAAGCGCTTTATAATGCTGCTCTTTCCCCTTCAGGCATGCACAGTGAGGGAGAAGCGGCGGCAGAGGCAGGCAGTATAAACTCGTTTTAACTGGCTGTGCCATGATAGCGGTTAGGACACCTGTGTTCTCTCTGTCATTTCCCTCTTATATGATTGTTACTTCTAAAGGAAAACACAGTAAAGGAGAGAAATGTGATATTTCAAGTCCTATGATTGGATCTTTGGTGACACCTGAAAGTCTCCAGCTGAGCAAGAGTAATATATAAGAGTATCATGCTCATACAGCCTCCATTATCAGTCAAAACACATTTATTTTAGTTTGGAAAGCTGTCAAACTCGTCAACAGTAACGTGACGACTCTTCTGCCTGTCAAGGAGAAACATTGATCCCCCTTAAAGTGACGCTTCCTGGTAGAGAGTGAGAGACACGATAATATTTCTGCGTAAAGCCAGTCTTTAACTGTTTTGTGTCACAGCCTCGACCCTTCCTACTGTGAAAACACACGCAGGGCTCCGTGTGAAGCCTGCACGCTGCAGAGAGCCTCGGGCAAAGTTTCTCAACCGCTGCAGAGACATCCTGGCTGTTGGTGCTCCGACAGTGAGCCATCTGACTCTGTTTACATACAGCCCTAAAACAGAACCGCTGTGCGGGGCCATGTGACGGCTCCCTGTGACGCTTTAATGTTGCCACTGTGTCGTGACGTTGCGTAATGTTTGAGTGTATAATATTTATTTTAACACGGGTAAGAGAGAGTTTCGGGCTGCCGATCTCTCTGTGTGAAAATAGTCAGAGAGCCAGACGTTACGAGGAGCCTCGTCGCCATTTGTTGTGGCATATAGTTCAGGGATGTCATGACACTAGAAATGTAGAAGTCGATTTAGTCGTAAAATCCCTGCGTTCAGAGTTTCTCTCACACACTCACCCCTGCCTGAAACGCCTCTATTCTAGTCCTTTGTTTACTTCCATAACATTGTGACATCACTGTGTAACACTCCAGCTTCTATTGGCTCCCACACATTTGACTCTACTCATATTGTTTTGTACTCAGTATGTCCTTCTTTAAGCAGTGGACTTTGCTCTCTATGCGCCCTATATGCTTTGTGTGATCGTGAACTGAATATATTTGTAGACTGTCCAAACGCTCCAGAGTCACGTCAGGCTTTGGGAGATATTGCAGGCATTATACTCGCTCCTGTTAACATCTTATCGCTGTTTTTATCTCGCATACCTTTCTAGTTTCTTTTTGGCTCTGCTAAAAATGTCTTTTAATAGTAGTAGGAGAGGAATGTGTAAGGGTGGGGAAAGTTAACATCTCATGCGTCACAGGAACAAGGCACGACTAGTAGGGCTGCACGATATTAGAAAGAACTGACATTGCGATTTCCCCCCCCCAGGCGATATATATTCTGATATGAAAATACCGTTTTATTTAACTGCAAACCATCCTTTCTTGAACTTTAATGCTATACAATTGGTATTTTTCTAACTATATTTAACCGGATGAAGGATTTTAGTCACGGACGTCTGGATCTTAAGTTATCAGAGCAACAAGCTGAGCTAGCTCGGTTAGCAGCGCCGAACTGGAGAAACACAGGAAACGACTTCATTCAGTGTTTCTACCTTTAATCACCGGGTCCCTTTGATTTGGAGATTTGATTGTGATTGGTGGTTTGCTGTGCATGCAGAGCCGGCATGTCACTCACTCAGGTACCCCCGACATGAGAGCCGCGCGAGTTTTCCTTTTGTAGCAAGCAGCAAAAATAATTGTAACATGACGTGTTTGAGTTCATTTGCGTACTTAATATCGCACGTCCTAACAATAAATAAATAAAAAAAATAATTCAAATGTGCACGTCCTGCGATGTGAATGCATATCGCGATTATCGTCACGACACAATATATCGCGCAGCCCTAACGACTACTAGAGACGTCTGAGCCTCCTCTCTCTCTCGTCTCCCGTATGGCACAGAGGCTGGTTATGTAAGGCGTTGCGTGCATGGCAGAGACACATTCTCTTCCGCTCCACAGAGCCGCTGCCCTGGAGCTCTGTGATGCCATGAGAGCTGCTTGAGGTTTGGGGCATATTTGTTTTCTCTGTTTTAACAAAGATCTAGGTAGATTCTCCCACGCTGCAAGTCAAAGGTTCTTTCCCATTGCTACCAGTGTATGCTTCATGCAACCTTAATGATTGCCTCAAGTTTCAACCAATCTAGTTAATTTCTTGACCTTTGTTATTTTTAGTTCTAAATGAACACACTCTTCTGCTTGTGTGAAGTGTGTGTGTGTTTTGTGCGCGCGCAGTGGCGTTGATCTTGCCGTCGGCCTTGGTTCTCCTCTTTGTAAAATGCCAGTGCTCAAAAGCATCCGAAACCGGATCGCGCCAGTTTGCAAACATAGCCTCACACACAAACGGGACACACGCATGAGCTCATGTCTCCCGACTGCTTGAGTACCAGTGATGCGGAAGGAGGCGGGCCAATGACAGTGCGGCATACACACTGATGGGAAACAAAAAAAAGAAGAGGGATAACAGGAGAGAAGCGTTATTTGAGGAGGGATGTAAAAAGGGAAGCCGAAATGTAATGTCTGACTTCATCTGCTGTAGTCAGTCACTTCCTGTATGGCTTTATAATGCCTGTTATTAAAACCCTTCCCCATTTCATATGATTTCCAGTGTGGTGGAGTTGGATCCTCTCCAGGATCCACACACTGCAGCAATTCAAACTCAATCTGCACAATAAAGCTAGTCGGAAGTGTTACTTACACTCAGCTGGATGCTTCTGTGAAAATGTGGATAAAGGGAGTGTTGCGGTAGAAAGGGTGAGGGGGCGGGGGGCAGAAATCTTGTGTATGTACAGCAAATACACAAGAAGGCTTTTAGGTCTCTGTGAGCACTATTGATTTGACATCTCACAACTGGAGCTTCTTCTCTCCTTTGTATTGCTCTTATTAATAGCTGGTTAAACTTCAAAATATGTTTTTATATGATGAACATATTGTCCTTAACACCCTCAAGATATGTCTGAATTTACACGCAAGCCTCCTCGGTTTAGCTACCCCACTTTTCAATGGCTTCTATCAACGCTATTGCCCGAGTTTCCCCCTTCAGTCATATAGAGAAAAGTCCAAGCATTACTAATTATAGCATGCCTTTAACTGAGAGGCTACAACAACCAGGATTTAAAGATAGGTGTCACTTCAAATGCCGTTCACTCCTTGCTTTTCCATGAAACTTTATATTATATATATATACGCAATGCAAGCACCATCTGCTCTTTGTATTCCTCCACATTGTCTGCTGCCACACTGGCTACACGTCATCCAGCCTTATGTAAGCTCCACAGGGTGTGGCAAAGATGGACTCTACATTCTATTCAGATTAGCTAATAATCTTTATGATTAACATTAGTTATTTTGTACACATCTTATACATTTATTTGCTAAAAATGTTTTGTCAGTCAGAGTGAATATAAATGAAATAATACATGACATTTACAGCACTTTTCAGAGTGCTATAACACGCATATGCACAATAGTGTTGATTTTGTTTTTATATTAGTTAATCAACCTTATTTTAAATATTTTTTATAATTGTATTTAGGGTACTGCACATTTTCTTTTTAACACAATTTAACTACACTTTGACTGTTCTACATCTTTTTGTAATCATGACAATTATTCTTAGTTAATACTGAGTCAGTCTACTTTTAGACATCCTCTGTATACAGTCTTAAGCGTCGAATTAGTTTTATTTCTATAATAATTGTGCAGTTTCAAGTCCACAGTCAATGGGTCCTATTAGAAAGCATTTTGTGATGGGTGACTGTTCTGCAAAAGGCCTAAGGAAGCCTGTTAATGGTTTTATCTGCAGTTTGGCACAGTGTGCCTAACTAATAAAGTCTAATAGCTTGGCAGAACATCAACACAGCAGCCTGCCCGAAGAGTACCATTTTTATTTGGCATCAAAGTGACTTAAAGTCTTACGCTATCACTACTCCTCCTGATCCGTCTCCCACGTGTAGCATACAGTAAGCTTTACCGTAGTGGTTAGGTAATATATGGGTCAAGCCTTGACACATGTCAGACATGCAAGCATTAGATGGACGTGAATGAATGAAAACCCATCTGTGATGTCTGTTGACGTCAAGGTCTCTCGCTATTGGCTGAGCCGAAGGTGCTGCACCATATCAGCGATTGGCTTAGAGTCTGAAATGGTCTCCACATCAGTGAGTGTTCGCCTCAGAAGAACTCCGAGCCTTTTGTTCCAAGCGGGCATGCGTACACTGACCCCAAAGCTGCAAGTACACGATGTACAGATGGCGAGTACACGATGTACAGATTAGCAGCATCTAATGAGCTTTGTTTCCAATGTATAAACAAACTTAGTAATTGACACTAATTAATAATGGTAGTTTTAAAAGAGTTGAACGTCACCAAAAAACAAGTTGAGACATTTTTATCAGGTTCTATCACTTTTAATTATCTTCTTAAAATCTCTCAATGCTCGTGTTTTATGACCCTCGACTGTTTGTGGGATTAGCGACACATACAGTAGAGTGAACAAAAGATGTTTTGACCCCCACCTAACGAGGTTAATAATTTCACTGCATGCATCGAGCTCAATCCCACCAACAAACTCGCTCCGCACGCCCCTCGCCGCCATTTTGTGTTCCCCATAACTGTGCATCATTTATGCTCAGGGTCGCCCATCCCTTTATGAGTTTTTCTGCTCTTTTTCCCATCTCATCTCTCAAGGCACTTTGTTGTGATGGTCTTTGTTCAGACTGCAATGCATGGGAGACAGCCAAACATGGAGGTACACGTGAGCCATGCTCCAGTGGAGACCCATGCTGAGAGAGAGAGTGAGCGTCCACTGATGAGGAGTGACAAGGCGGCTGAATGCATGCATGGTACAACGTACACATTGAGATATCTTAAGGAGGGGTACAGTGTGTGGGATGCCGAAGATAGATGTATTTTGTCTTGTAAGGAGATTTAAGGAAAAATACTGTGGATAGAATTATAAAAAAAAAAAAAGGGTACTACTTCTGTTCCAGCAACATAACTGAGGAGATGTTGCAGTCATCAAAAAGGAAACACGTGAGAGGTTGCTGACCGAATGGAGGGGCTTGTAGGTTGGATCAAGTGGGTGTGTGGTCAAAAGTAGCTCATCCTATTGGACGGATCACCCTAATCTCTTCCGAGTGTTTATGTAACAACAGAAGGGGAGGTGACAAGTCTCCTTAAGCAGTGACATCACAACCCGCCCTCCTATCTCCCCTCGCCATGCACCCAATGGTCTGAGAGTCTATCTGTGCTCTAGGCTTCGCGATCAGCAGGGCTTGCACTCCCGTTGTACGCACACACACTCTCCCATCCCCATCTTCCATTGTTGGTCAGGCTCCCCTATGTGAATCTGAGGGATCTGGGGCAAAGGGTGCAGGTCAGGAGGACGGTGGTGTTTTGTTTTAGGGTGTTTTCGTTGGGGCCGTAATGAGGGCCCTGGGCTTTGGTCGGGACAGTGTGGTTTAGCCTGAGAGCATCAATGAGAGAGAAGGGGCTGGCCGGGGCAGGAGGAGCGCAGGGCATGGACGCCGCCGCCCTGAAGCTGCTCTTCTGGGAGCTGGAGAAGCATCGGAAGAGGTAACCATGGCTGTAGTGTTGTCACGTTGTTAGCGGTCGGCGGTGATGAGCGGGGGTCAGCGCCACTGCAGCTGCCTGGGGATTAAAGGAGGGGCTTTGTGTTGTTTTCTGATCGTTGTGGTTGCGTTCAGTTGATTGAATGTTTGCCGTCCTTTAGAGTAAGGCCCGCAGTTATCCAAGCATTTATCCAGGAAAGTTCACACCTGTTGTTGTTTTCATATCTAATGAAGCTTTCCGGACTTCGGACAATGTCCAGAATCAGTGCAGGACATTGTCAGAAGTTAACATTTCTCACATGTAGCACACAACAGGATATTAACAATGGCAGATGCATTCTCGAGTACTGGAAATACTCAGTTTGGTTTAGGCGATAGGTGGCGCATGGGTGGCTTTCAGGGGGTCGGACATGATGCCGCAGTCTCGTAGATGGTTCATATTTGAGCTCATTAACAACCAAGTCCATTGCAATTCTTCACATTTTTTACACTGGCCGAAGATATACTTGCTTTTCAACATGCGTCACGTTAATTCCTGAGAACAGAAACAACGCTTAAAATGGTGGCAGGATCCTACAGACAATGAGCACACGTGGGATCAACGGGACATCCGGATAATGTCTATCCTACTTCAGGGTTGCAGTAAATGTAACGAAAAAGATAATCACCTCATGAACATACTCTGCTCAGCAGCCCTAAAGCAATCTGTGTGTTTTGAGGACACAATGTACTTGCTTCTGCACATGCAAGTTGTGCATGTGAGTGTGAATGCGTGGCAGTCTGATGTTCACTCACTGCATTGAGCTCCAGACAAAGACTTTAACTTGTCTGTCCATTTTTTTTTTTACTACTTAAACTTTTCCCTCCAATCTCAACTGCCAGAGATAACATCATGTTCCAGTTCCTCCATAGATCCACTCAGCACATTATTGCTTCCCTTTGCTCAGTTATCACGCCACTCATAGACTTCAGTCTCCAAAACACAATAAGCCAAAACATTAAATCTATACCCAACTCCCAATTTCTCAAGTTTATTATCTTGACTAAAGTACTTCCAAGCATTTGTTTCAATCAAGCCTTTAAATACATGAGCGGGGTACTCCTCCAGTTTCTGATGTCCAAACTACAAAGTTGACACACTTCCACTTACTGAAATTGATTCAACAAATGTTCCAACCAGAGCCGGATAGAACAGCCAAGGTGCTTAAAGGAGCTCCTGAGGTACAATCAAGATCTTTAATCTTTATTGCTTTATTGCTCGTATGTGTCCAGAACATCCAACAGTTTACTCTAAATGTACTTCCTTTTCTCCGTGTGCTTATCTAAACTATATATGATGACGACATCAGTGTGCACATACACACCAACAAATCACATTATTGTTTAGTGCTTAAAGATAAATAATGATCTGAAAATAATCATTTAAAAGCTGCCTTTGTGTTATAAGCTTAATTGGTGTATTACATTAATCTAAGCTATGCAAGGCTTAACATTGAGGCTGCAACTAATGGTTAATTTTTGTAATCAATTGATATTGATATCTTGTCCGACTAACAATACCAAAGGCAAAATATATCAAAACAATAAATGCATACATGTATGTCTAACCTCAGATACGGCTGGCTGAAACAAGAAAACATTGGCCTTTTTTCTTGATAAATGACTTTGACGAATCGTTTATTATCAAAATGTTCCGTCGATTGAATCCCTGTATCAGCTCTATCACACATCACAGAAATGACAATAAAAACCTTAAGGGAACTCGTAAATAATTTGTGATGCAGCCAAATACAGAACAGCGTGCCGTGTTCCCATTTCAAACATCCAAACTGATGGAGAGGACAAAGGAGCTCCCATTCTTTTGTGTTACTTCTCTAACACCTTTATTTACCCCCCAACTGGACAGAGGTCAGCCTATGCTACACACAAACACACATTGTGGCCTATTGATTGTCTCAAATGACAATGATTCAATGTATGTGAGGGTCCACTTGTGGTTTGTGTGTGTGACCCTTCAAAGCACGAGTTATAACCAATAGGTGGAGACATTGCATCAGACAAAGTTTCCCCATCAACTGCAGTACACATTTGAGCATAAACAAACACAGTGCAGTTATATCGCAGTTCAACACTAAACGGAAGTTTAAAAGCAAAATGCCGGCTGTTTTAATGTTCGTTTATAAGTCGAGGCAGTCCCCTCTTTCATTCCTTGGGTGGATGCGGGCTTTTATAGAGAACAGCAGCAGGTAGAGGGATGTTGCATAATTTATTACCACGAGCGAACCTCTCATCCAATCAGGGACGCCGCTGCGGCATACATTATGTTAATGAGCTCCCGCCTCCACCAATCACGTTGCCGCTCGCGCTGTTGTCCTGCATTCATTACCCGGAGAGGCAGCGCGGAGCTGCAACCCACCGCTCAGTCTTTTGTGTTCCCGTCCCGTCTGCGAGCTCTGCGGTCGCCCGGAGAGCAGACCAGACATCCTGCTCTCAATAATGCGCTTTATTTTCTACTTTTATACCGCTGGGTGTCCAGTTTGTACAGCCGAAGAATCGCCTTTGGGGGTTTCAATGGGCTGGATAGCATGAATGCCCAATGTTACACAGTGGCGATGGATCTTAGCGTTTGCCAACTGAGGAATTTCTCGATATCGTTTCTGTCCTCTGTGCTGGGGAAGGAGGGTGCATCTATCCGGGATGACAATAGGTAACGTCACAAGCCTTTCTGCGCATTATATTACTGTTTTATTCGGATTTAAAATGGGGCTTCATGGCTTGTTATGTCGCCTCATTGATTCTCCGCCATCAAAGTCAATGCCTGCTTTCTCGACCTCCATTTGCTTTGTTGCAGATTTCCTGTGGATGTTTTATTTACTCATGACAGCATCATAATGTTACATAAGTCTTTATTTCTTTCTGATTTCGTAGCTTTAAAAAAAACAAATGCCAGTCACGTCTGTGAAGAAACCCCATTGATTCATCCCATCCACCCTGCAGTATTCCTAATGCATCATCTCATATGCTGTGATAATAAACCTCTTATTTTCTCTGTCTTTTAGCTCTTCCGGTGCAGGTGTGGTGGCCATTGACAACAAGATTGAACAAGCAATGGTAAGAATCCTGTCCTATATCACGCTCACAGTGTTGGTAAATAGCTTTGACATGTGTGTTAACGCAGCGTTATGTAAGCGTAATCCCCTTCAGCTTTTGTTTGGAAAGGGTTTAAACGCTTTAAGATATTCAACAGAGCGAATCTCAGGTTGGCATAAGAATGAATGCATGCAGGTGCTTTTGTGTGCATTTTAATACAAATCCAGCGCCATATTGGTGAAAAAAGGCACATTTCCCCGCATATATGCACCTGCTGGTCTATACATTCGAGGGGGCGGGGGTTTCCTGCTCTGTCACGGGTTTAGAGCGATGACCTCCGGCTTGCAGGCACCTCGATTTGGGAAGGCTAGGGTTCACACGCCATCCCCTCTCCCATGCATAAACACACATTAGACCCTCACCCCCCCTCCGTCCCGTGTTGCTAGGCAAGCAGCAGCCTCCCCGCGGCTCAGTATAAATAACTCTGCCGTTGATTGGCTCCTCCCACCCGGGTGCAGAACATTTTGTTCTCAAGCTGCGTACCGGGCAGGGAGGAGGGGGGCGGGCCCACAGTGTTAAATCCTCCTACTGCACACTGCTCCAGCTGCATCATGGGAATGAATAACACAGCCTTTTTTAAAGACACCTTTTTTTTCTTCCTGAAGGCATTCATGCATATTTCCCTGCCATCCTTCACACACAGCTGGCATGTGCTGTGCAAAACTGAAGCGATGGAAATAGCCTTTGCTTGTGACGCTGTGACACACATTGCCTCCCCATCAGCACGCTCTTGAGTCATTAGTTTATTATTTATTTTATGCTAGAAGGAAGTCTATTGTGGTTACTACGTGTCTAAATAAAAACCAAGGCGTACCAAATTAGATTTAATAAAAAGAAGTCATCCAGAGTGTGCGAATGAATCATGGGATGTGTGATTGGGCTGCATCCTTTTATCTGCTGTTTATTTCTCTATTAATTGATTTGAGGAATTTGATTTAGCCTTCAAAGTACAACATATAAATAAATAAAATGCCAGTCAGAATTCCCAACAGGCAGATGAGACTTAAACTGCTTTCTTTCCACTGCAGCACAAAAACATATTAATTTGTGAAACCAAATATTTGTATTTCCCTGACTAACCTCAATGAATTAAAGTTTATTTCTATAGTGATTTGACTTTAAAAATACAAATAAATACATGACGTAAAATAAATTCATTCAGTTTGAAGCTGATATTTGTGCAGGTAAAGATTAGGCTGCACTAATATTAGTATAATCTTATTTGTAGTGATATATTCCAGTGAGAGCTGATAGCACTGTGTGATCCAAACGTTTCCAATAACTCCAGTGTTAATTTCAGAAGTCAACATTTATTTGCTCAAGATTGACAACCCGTTTCTGTCCCACCAAATATTCTGCTTCATCATACTAGCTGGCGTATAGTCTTTTTTTTAAAAACAAAATGTTCACTGAGGTAAAAAAAAATAGTTCTTCCTTTACACAAAGGGGGGCACACACCTTTACTAACTAACAGCGCCATGCATTACATTTATATTACCAATATAACAACAAAATGAATAATTCCCCAACATTTTTTAAAGGGTGTTGACGTTGTAAAGTGACACCAGACATTTAAGCTTTATTCAGAAACCTTAATATAATGAAAAGATGCTATTAGGTACAGACATGTTACTTTGTTTGTGTTGTGTGTGACTAGTCTGAAACATACATGTGGTTTGAACAAATAGTGTCCTCACAGGGGAAAGTGATGTATCCTCTCTAACCCCCCCCCCTCTCCGCCCTCAGGACCTGGTGAAGAGCCACCTGATGTACGCGGTGCGCGAGGAGGTGGAGGTGCTGAAGGAGCAGATCAAGGAGCTGATCGAGCGCAACACGCAGCTGGAGCAAGAGAACAACCTGCTGAAGAACCTGGCCAGCCCCGAGCAGATGGCCCAGTTCCAGGCTCAGGTCCAGACCGGCTCCCCCACCGGCCCCGGGCAGCCCCTCCCGGGCGGGACCCCGCTCCAGCCCCTCCCCCCCACACAGAGCTCCGGCACATCTGCGTAACGGTGAACCAATGCAGAGCCCCTAAAGGATCAGAGATGAGGGGAGGAAGAGGAGCTGTAGGAGGAGGAAGGAGCCTCGCCATACTGTGAAGCGACTTTAGCATCGACACCGACTATGCCACCGTCTCCAGCCGCGCACCGGGGGGCACGTACTTTCTTTTGTTGCACATTTAATTTAACCGAAAGAGCCGCACCGGTGACCGCTTTTATGACCTGATTCAGACAATCGTCTTCATCGCCGTGATGGCACAGCTGACAGGAAGTAACCGCCGTTTTTCCAGCGGAGGAAAGGAGCTAACGCAGGGCTCGGCCAATCAGGAGGGAGCATGAATCCCTCGCTCGTGAAAAGTGTGCCATCATCTTCACCCCCCCCTCAACCCAGCCCTCTCCATCAGCACATCATTTCTCAGTGCTGCAATCCATGAACTTTTTTCAGACGGACTATAAAGATCCGTACCATCTGGAATGTGAACTTTTCTTTATCTGAAGATGTGGGGGGGGTCTAACGAATTATGAAATAAATATATATATATAAGCTGCGCCTCATTGTTTCACGTGGAGAAGTTAGTTTTCTTCGCCCCGCCCTCAGCGCACTCTTTCTTTCTTGGATGGAGCGTTAACATTATGCAGGGAATCAAACGTTTTTCTAGGGGAAGTTTTTGTCTGTTTTATGTTTTTGTTGTTCTCAATGTCCTTGTGATATATTAAAGTAATTAAAGGAGAGGCAAATCAGTTTCTAGACGATGAACTCTGTAAACATTTCCAATTAAACTCTGCCAAGTGCCTGGTTTCTAACCATAGATACATATATACAAGCTTTTCTTAGTTGTTTTATTCAACATGTGTATATATATGTAAATATATATATATCTATGGTTTGCCAGGTTTTGAACTACCTGTGATGTCATTACTCAGGGTGGCAACACGAGGACTTTAACCTCGACACTAAATGCTGTCTCTGCAGTGACACACAGCCTCGTACTGTATGTGAACTCTCCTCGCCGACGCTTATCGCTCTAATGATCTGGACTCTTTATCGTTTTGGAGACAAGTGATATTGTATTTTTTTTTAGGATGGTTTATTTTTTCTTTGGTCTTTTGTACAGCCGAGTGTTTTGAGTGGCTCGTTGTGCAACTGGAGCGCTGAACACAATAATGAGAAAAATGCCTAGCCGAATATGTGGATGTTTGTGCATGTTCCTCAGCCCATCACAAATGTGACGTTACAATTGCACTAGACAGTTGCACCTCAAATAAAAAGTGAAAACAAAAAAGTAAAAACTGTTTGGCTTTCTTTTTCAAAAATGTAATGTTTTGAGGTTTTATGGTGCATTCAATTTGTACTTGGAAATCGGAGCTGGGACGTCACAGTTCTATTTAAGTCTAAACATGTCCACTGGTAGAAATCGCACACGGAGTGCTCCACTGATCGTAGAAAGAAGTGCTTATAATCGGTATATTAATACATGTAGCTCTCCTCACGACACAGGCCGGCGTTTATTTCTTGGAGTTTTCATCTTGTAGCCTCCCCTCTTCCGTTACGCCGTGAGAACTACAACACACGAATGACACGTAGCCAAACATATTAGCATATTGTGCTACACATAAATGAATGAGAATGGGAAACATGAAAACATAAAACAAATACCTCGTGGGCCGCTTGTCGTGAAAGGAGATTAATCTTAAAGTATCTTTTCCGTATAACTTTGTCGCAGAGCTTCAAATAAAGACCACACGACGTTGAGTAGTCCAGTGTACCAACAAAACACGCAGTACCAGTACATGAACAAACATTAGTTCCTAGGCACAAGAAACGACAAACACGTACGCATATTGGTTTAACATATAAAACAAACTATTAAATCATGCCATATTTAACGATTATAATACAACATGAAATAAAGTATTTATTATCGAATTGAGCTATGAAATTAATTTAATTGTGTTATTCTTTTTAATGAAGGCAACTTTGTTACCTCATTTACAATACAGTTTTTACCCTGTTGAATTGTTGGAATTCATCTTGGATTTTAAGGTCATAGCCGTTGATGTTTTTCTGTGTTCAGGGGTCGTTCCAGTTTAGATTTCCCAGAGTACATTAGTCTGACAGGTTTACTGGAAGGAACCATGTATACCTCTCTAGTTTTAAGTAAGGCAAGGCACGTTTATTTATATAGCACTTTTCTGTACGCGACAATTCAAAGTGCTTTACAAAACAAATGTAAAATACTTTTTAGGAATACATACATTAAATACACATTATATAATGGCATTTTACATCAGGCATTACAAAGCAAAGATAATAAAATAATAAAAATAAACACCACAGGTATACAATACATGTTTAAAAGGCATACTGTAGTTCGAATATGAACATCTCAATTAAAAGCAGCGGCAAAAAGATATGTTTTTAGTCTCGATTTAAAAATAGTAAGCGTTTCTGCGGACGTACGTGATTTGGGTAGTTTGTTCCAGAGTGTCGGGGCATAACAGCTGCCTCTCCATGTTTTGTTGTTACTCTCGGAACCGATAGCAGATCCATCCCAGAAGACCTGAGGCACCTTGATGGCTCGTAATTATGTATGTACAATATACTTTGGTCCTAAACCATGTAATGATTTAAAAACTAGCAATAGTACTTTAAAATCAATTATTTGGCCGACTGGAAGCCAATGTATAGATTTCAGAACCGGACTGATGTGATCCACTCTTTTGGTGTTAGTGAGGACACGTGCAGCAGCGTTCTGAATCAGCTGCAGTCGTCTGCATTAAATAATTTAATGTAGTTTGACCACAAATAAACCTCCACTATGTAAGAAATACAACTGGTTTTCCCTCTTCTCATTTTCTAGCCAATAATAACCCTCACTGCCTCCTCCCATACCTCCCAGTGTAAAGCACCAGTGGCTGCTTCCTCCCTATACATCAGTAGACATGCGCAGAAGGGGATCGCCATGTAAATATTTACCTATGCTGTCCTCTCATTGGTTACAAGGGACCGAGCCTCCTCACAGCATGGATGTATAATAGCCTATATACAGTCTATGATAATAGCCTCACAGCCATCTCACGGTGGCTCCGCCCACCGCATGTGGACCTGCAAACTGATAGCGAGGACGCGCGGACGAGAGCGCGCGGGAATATAAGACGACGTCATGTGGAGGAGTTTAGTAAAGCTGAACATAGTAAACACGATGGTTTTTTGTGTTTAAAAGGACGTTAAACACGCCTTAAAATGTAACGCTTAGAGTTAATTACACTATATTTATTATTTTACTATGTTATTTATATAACTATGGGGATGATGCAATATTACATGCATAGCTTCTATTTACAGGAAAAGAACACATTAGGAATATCACTTGCATAGCTACAAATATTACATTCTTATACTAACCTGTTAACATACAAAGTCTCTCCTTATTTTCTGCTGGGATGTCTACAGTATTTATGAAACATAGGATTAATGTATATGTTTTTATAATCTCCTCCCAACATGTACAGAAGCTCCATGCTAATGTAAAGCCTTAGAAAAACCGCGCTGCTGATCAATGTGACTGATCTACTTTTAGCTTTCCTATATCATCCAGCCCATATTATACAACCAGGAGGCAGTCTATTCAGTCAAATCAACACAGCCAAGCAAGAAACCACATCTTTATTTAATAAGGGTAGACTATAAATACGAAATTACATTACAAAAATAATGAGCATTGTAGCCATCACAACCCACTTAATATGTAATAAAAGGGAAATAAATAAATATAACAAAAAGGACAGGCAGTATTTATTTGTTTAATTTAATGTACAAATAGGAACAAAAAGGACTTCTATAAATACAAAATGGCATTTATTGTATTGTCTTCCTCCAGTAGATAACATCTGGAGTTCTAGCTATCTTTCAAAGCCTTAATAATAACATTTAAACCAGTTTTAATGTATTTTAAAATGAACTTTTCCAATAACACTATACAATAGGGTGTGAAGATGTATTCCAACCACCATTGCCTCTTTGAGCAAAGATTCTAATAACAGATCTGCAAATGTAACATGTAAAGGAACCGCACTGATTGAAGTCCGTATGCACATTTCACACAAAGGACAGAGTTTGGTGTCCTGGTAGAGAATCTAATTAAATGAGCTCTTTGATTGAATGTATATCTATTCCCAGGGACTCCACCTGCCCTCCCTGTGCTCCTCCCTCCTCCCTGGGGTCAGCCTCACCCCTCGACCTCCGTGGATCAGACTTGTTGTGGAGACGGAGCCCATGTCCAGATGGCACTTTCGCAAATCCTGTTTCATTGACAAAAGGTGTTTTCTTCAAGCTCGCCGCCGCGGGGACAGGATGTTCTCGGAGGCCGGGGGATCACGCGTGGATTAACCCTGTCTATTTTTGCCGCTGCTGATGTTGGAAAGCACAAAAATAGACGCTGGTTATTTACATTCAGTGCCGTGATTTATCGAGGAAGTCTTCAGGCCAGCTGTAGGCTGTCTTTAACACATTAACTGATAACATATTATGCATACAAACTCTAGTTCTGGCCTATTTCTTCCAGACATGAAAATCCAATCTAGCCCCAAATCGACCCCCAAAATCCTCTTTACACCCCAGAACTGGACCCCCCTCTGTGCTGTAATAAACCCTGAGTGTCCCCATCTTCTGTGCCCCGAGACCCTCCCCCCCACCGGAGATGTTACAGTACAAGGGGATAAGCCTGTTCTATGTCTGGACATGGAAAACCTGTTCATGTTTGCACACAAACAAACAAAAAAACCTGTTAACAGCGCTCTCATCGCCGTGCAATCCTAAATATACTGCGGATAAAAGCAGATTTGAAGCATCCGACCCCACAGCAGGCGATATCACCTTGAAGTAAAAACAGTGCTTGAAAGCAAATAGGCAACCACTTCAGGCTTCCTTTCAACATAGCCGCTGTGTTTAGAGCTGGTTGCATCCTCTAAATATTACAGTCTGTAGTTCGAACAGTTAGATGGGAAATCCCCAAATTACAATGTATGATCGCCTTCCTAATTGTACATTTGTAAGCCTGATAATCAGACTGAATATTCCTTTTATATTCCTTATAGCCTCACATGCAAGAGTGAGTCAGAAGCTGTTAGTATTTAAAAGTGTTTTAAATACTAACTGAAACATCCTTAAAAACAAGTTATTTTGCACTTATCAAACAGTAACAAGGAACATAGCTGTAGCTTAAACTAGGAGATGTTAACTAGATGATTTTGACGTTGATTAGGGAATTTTAGTAAGGTAATACATTTATTTTTCAATTTCATACATAGCGCAATGTAGCTAGCTAGCCATGTAGGAATTGGACGTCCCTGTTCTTTGATTGGTCAATTGGACATCCACACATTTTTCCCATCTTTCCTTGACCCCATCATGTTTTCCACTGATGCCAAGGAAAGGTTGTTCAATTAAGTAATACAAATGACAACTACCACCCAAAACATTCTCATATTATCTGTATTTTAAGGCCAAAACGACTTCCCCCAAACTGTAAATATGAGGCTGTTCTGCCATGTCCTCCTTTTAACGGGGCCATGTGGGAATAGTGGGGTCAGGCATAGTTTTGTGTGTGACATTAATCTGATGTTCTGTTCCTTTGATCTCACTCACATTAATGAATCCATTAAATGCGGTAATGTTTTGAGTCTTTCACAGAAACAGATCGCCTGTGGAGTTTCTGCTACACACGAGCTCTCAATCAACTCTCAACTCAAGTCAGCTGCTGCCACACATGGGCGCAGACAGAGGGGGGTCTGATGGACCATGTGATGCTAACGGGAGAACTGTGGACACATGTGTGGGCATTCCTGCTCATCCCACCGTACTACGCTCCGTGATGTAAGTCATTACACGCATTTCTCTTTGAGTCAACAAATAAAGGGATGCATTTCCTTCTGAAAAAGAGTTCTGAATTTGTTTTTCTGTACAAACCACAGTTGCTGTTTTCTTCTCTGGCCTTCTGTTGCTCAGGGTCAGCTCTTAAATTTGTCCTTGTCCTCCACCCAAAGTCACCTTTTCCCCCGCGGCACGTGCCCCAGCGAGAGCCCTCTGAAATCCCACAACAAACCGCAGACAGAAGCATAGTCTGGTCACTGGCGCCCCATGGGGGGGGGGAAGGGGATTATGGGGGATTACAGCCCACTGATCCTCCACTTTTCCTCCCTTATGCACCTTCTCCTGCCCCCTACGAGTTTTTCAAAACTTTTCATCCCTAAATCACGACCATGACTGTAATGATTTTCCGTCTCGATTGTTTCTTTATCATGTAAATCTGGTTCTGCAGGAACGCCTGTCATCGCTGCTTTTATGGTGCGAGTTTGGGACCCGCGAGACGGTTTGTGAGGAGTGCAAAACATGAGATAATTAAATATCACGAGAGAGGTTTACTCCTGGATTGGCTGCTCATTTTATCTTCTAATTTGAGGATTCTTTGTTAGCCTGGCACACTAAAATACGTATTTCAATGCAAGAAGATTATATCAAGTTAACTGTGGCCTCTGTTACTAAATGATTCTTTGGTTGACAGGATAGACAGAGATGAACTTGGTTTGTTTCAGCCACTAAGATGTAATAATCCATAGATGCAGTCATGTCTGTCCAAAATGAACTCATATCATAACTGTATCCTAATAGATATTTGCATGGGATCGTCATAATTACCGTGTTCATTCTTGTCGTGTTTTGCGAGATCACAGGGACGTTTGACCATCAAATTCGACTCAGGTCGTCACTATAGTAAAATAGTGGTTGTGCAAAACGTATAGACATTTCTTGAAGTTGAGGAGAATAGTAGGTACAGAAAGACGTACACGCGGTGATGAGCATTGGACTGTAGCAAGGCTGATACTACACATTTAAAGGAGTACTATCATTTCTTTGCCAACAACATGTTGTGTTGAGTTCTCCTAGAAACGTACACAAAGTGAGATATTGACTAAATCAAGTCATTTTGGGGGTGAAGTATAGCAAGTCAATGATTGGCAGATGGAAGAGAGTGGCGGCTTTTGTTTACATCTGTCCGAAACCAAGGACTCATTGTTTCTAAACTGACAGAAATGTACAATAATCTGTCTCCTTCTCTGTCCTTGTGGACTGCATGTGTGTGGACAGCTTGAAAGACGTCCTCAGCGAACAGATAATTGCTTCCCATTGTGGCATCAATAGTATTTGACTTTGTATCCTCACAGAGACTGACATCGACGGTTTGATGAAGTGGAGACAGCGTGTTCTCTGCAGACAATGTGCTGACTATCAGGGTGTACGTGCGACTGTCACAATGCCAGCGTGAGCATTTAGTACGTCCTTCCTCTGCCTCTGCATGGACACTCAGCACTCAGAGATCAGACGGGAGGAAACAGAAGTCTCGACCTTGTGGGACAGAAATGGGACCTAAAACCACAGCAGCCTCGGAAATAGCTCCAACGTTCTTGAGTTGAGAAAGAGCTGCGGTGGTGATCTTCAGGTCAAACATAGTGTCATGGAATATGCGCATTACTGAAGACAGAAGCAGTCCTTAGGAAAGGTTGTAAGTTATTACTCAAGTTCAAATGTGTTGAACTAGATTCTTTTTAATTATACAATCTTGTTAAATATACTATCTTGGTTTTGGGTTTCTCTTTGATATTTAGCCTTAGCTATCTTTATTTGTTTATGCTGACTTCATCTTGGTATTAGCCTACTTTATCTTGTTTTGTGGCCAACTCCATCTTGGATTTTTTCTTTCCGGTCGCCATCTTGGTGTTTTGGCCCTCGCCGTTTGGACCATTTGCAACCAGGCATGAAAAGGAGGCTGGAGCCAAGTACAACGAACGCTGAAAAGACATTAGACATTTTAAATCAACTTTCATGTAGTAAGACACACTTTAAAACGTCTATGTCGGAAACAAGAACAGCAACTGGATAACACTGTGTTAGTGACCTGTCAATCACAAGGTAGCCCCGCCCTAAAGCATACCCTGCTTTACTGTCTAATTTACCCTAAATTCAACCATATATTACTAAATGGACATCATGCTGTATTAAAGAAGACTGGAAACTATTGATTGATTGATTGATCAGCCGCTTAATACGAGACCACAGAGGTTCCCATAGGAATACATGTTGACCTACAGAGATTCGGCCAAGCTGACCTGACCCTAGAATCTAGGGCCTAGATCAGCCCAGATACTGGAGGCTTTGTGTAAATCAGCAGCTGAAGGCATCATGTGGCTGACATCTGCCTGTCCTCCTGACACATCTGCAGAGAAGCTCCCAGAGCCACGTTTCTGTTTGCAGGACGGACAGTGGGTGTGCTCAGTGACACAGCGGAGTTAAATAAACTCAGGAAGCTTCCACTGACCCAACAAAGCCTTCTTCTCTTGCAGCTGTAAGTGAGATACTTGGAGCTAGCTTTCTAGCGTGTTTCTTCAGTGCTTCTGAAACTATTTCTGTGCTTCCTCCATGTCCTCAAACTTTCAGCCTGCGTCTGGTACATCGTGTTCGACCGCACGCGCAAATACAAACAAGGTACAACGAGGTCAGCCTCTACTATCGCCGCGCTGTTTCCTGTTTGCTTCCTTTTTCTTCGAGACAGGAAGAAAAATCAGCTCACCTTAGGTCTCTCTTTCAACTTCCAATATCTTACAGAAAAGGGCAGTGGAAACAAATGCAACTTATATTTTTAATCCACATTGCACTGACTATAATGGCATCTGCATTTATTTGTCTTCCATATCGTTTTTGGACATATAAATCCAGTTTAGTTGGCTTTGTTCCTATTGGACAGACAATTCAATTGGACATTGTCTTATTAAAGAATAATATGGATTTTCTTCATGTAAAGACTAGTTTTTGTTGCAGTTAAGTGTCACAGGAACATGAAATGAACTGACAGAATCATTTTCAGAGGCTCCTATGTTTTTGAAAACTTGCCAACTCTAAGCTAGCGTAAGAAATATTTCTCAAATGATGCCTTTCAATGATGGGAACATGGATAGAATCAAATAAGTGCTGTTTGCTCCACTTCTTTAATAATATATCAGAATTTAAAGTGAATTATTCAACAGTCTCGTGCCTGACCGTAACTTGACTGTTGAGATAAGACGATCTCCCGCTTTAAAAATTCGACATGTTCCTTTAAATTCTTTCCTGCTTGCAAAATGGATTCGACCTCACGTTTTCAGTCCGGTTTCAGGCAGCAGACAGACACGTGAAGCAGGAAGAAAGTGCAGGCAGAGCCATCAAAAAAAGGAAAGCAGAAATACTCAGGGTGCCATTAAAAACTCAGCGACCACATTAGATGATGCAATCGCAAATTATTTGATGACATTTAATTGTGAATGTGATCTACATCCCTGCATAAGGCATTTTTAAAATAACTTTTTTTGAATGGGGTT